GAGAGAGAGAGTTTTTTTTAATATTTATTTTTTTAGTTCTCGGCGGACACAACATCTTTGTTTGTATGTGGTGCTGAGGATCGTACCCAGGTCGCACGCATGCCAGGCAAGCACGCTACCGCTTGAGCCACATCCCCAGCCCGGAATTAGCTCTTTAAATGTTTTGTAAAATCCAGCTGTAAAGTCATTAAGGTTCTGAACTTTTTTAGATGGGAGATATTAACTCCCATTTCAATCTTATTACTTATTATTAGTCTATTTAAGTTTTCTATTTATTATAGATTCAATTTTGATAGCTTATATGTACTCAGGAATTTATCCATTTCTTTTGGGTTTTTCAGCTTTTTAGCATTTAATTGTTCATAGTAGTTTTTAATATCCTCTGTATTTCTCTGGTTTTAGTTGTAATATCTCCTTTTCACCTCTAATTTTATTTATTTGGATCTTCTCTTTTTCTTGATTAGTATAGCTAAATGTTTGTCCATTTTGTTTATCCTTGCAAAAACTCAACTTTGTTTCATTCATCTTTTGTACATTTTTTATATTTGCTCTTACTTATTTATGCTTTGATCTGTATTATTTCTTCTCTTCTATCAATTTTGGTTTGATATGTTCTTACTTTTCTTTTTTAAAAATATTTATTTTTTAGTTTTAGGTGGACACAATATTTTCTTTTATGTGGTGCTGAGAATGGAAACCAGTGCCTCATGTATGAAGGCGAGCACACCACCACTTGAGCCATATCCCCAGCCCTGTTCTTCTTTTCTAAGGCTTTTAGATGCATTGTTAGGATGTTTATATGAGATCTTTCTATTTTTATAATGTATGTATTTATTGTTATAAACTTTTGTCTCTTGGGGCTGGGGTTGTGGCTCAGCAGCAGAGCACTCGCCTCACATGCGCGGGACCCTGGGTTTGATCCTCAGCACCACATAAAAATAAATAAATGAGGTACTGTGTCCAACTACAACTAAAAAATAAATATAAAAAGAAAACTTATCTCTCATTACTTCTTTTGCTGGTTCCCACAGATTTTGGTTTGTGTGTTATCATTTTCAGTGGTTGCTAGATATTTTTAAATTCCCCTTTATTTCTTCAATCACTCATTCATCATTTAGCGTATTGGACTCTGGAGTGAAGCTATATGGCAAGACCTTTACGCAATAGGCCATGAAAAAGATGTAACTGTAGTGCATGTCACTGGTGAAGCAGATGCTTTGTCTAGGGTGCAGTGATTATAGTGGGCATTTCCCACAAACCTGGAGACTTGGTTGCACTGCCGCCTGCAGCATGAAGATGAAAAACCATGTACAATGTAGCCTTTAACATGGAGCACGCTGATGGACATGCAGGAGTGTTCTCACCCTCACCATTTGGAGCTACAGAAAGCCAGGTAAAGTGTGAGCACACCCCCTTGATATGATGGCAGGTTGACTACATCGGCCCTTTACTGAAAGAGAGGGCCATGTTCACCTTAATGGCAATTGATAGGACCACAGGATTTTGTTTGCCTGACCTAGTGGCCAAATGAATCAGTGCACTACAACTCATGCCCTGACAGGTGTTAAAGGCCTTGGTATGGCCAATAGAGAGTGATCAAGGCACCCATTTCATGGGCCAGGATGTGCAGTGATAGGCATTTCAGTTATAGATTCAATGGAAGCTGCACATCTCATATTACCCAGAGGCTGCAGACATGACAGAACAATATATTGACCTGCTTAAGCAAGAACTCAAAACTGCAGTCAGCCCACCTTCTAGAAGGGGTGGGTACAATGTTTTTGGGCAGTTGTGTGAGCTTTGAATGAGCATCTCCAACAAGGGACACCAGTTTCTGTGGGGATTTTGCATAGCAATAAAGGTCCAGGTGACAATGAAGGATATTTTATTTAAGACTGGGTTTGGGTAGCAAGGGAATGTTCTCTTGCCTATTCTCTTGAATTGGAGGCAAACTGTAGATTGGACATGGCGCTGGACAAACCCTGCCCCCCCCACCCCATTGGATGGCCCTGTTAGCCTTTCCCGTGGGGGAAAGTTTTGGAATGTGATCTCCTTGTGACACTGTGGACAACTAGTGAATGGTACCCCTGGGTACATGTTACTTAGCCAAGTCTCACAGATGAGAAACAGATTAAAGGGCACTTCTGTCATTTCCCTTTAGACAATTATGAGTTTCCCAGTGCTGATACACACAGAGCCTGCTGAAGTCCAGGATCAAGCTATAAAGAGTGGTTTCATGGCTCAGAGAAGCTGCCCTAGGTGACCACTGTGTTTTCCTGGGACTCAAAACTGGCATGCATTCTCCCATATGGACATGATTTACATGTACAAGTGTCTGTAACTGCTTTGTCCTTTTGGCTGTAGGTGTGTCCTTGCCAACCATTGTGGAACGGGCACACACCTACACCAAAGTAGCAAACACCTCTGTCTGCTGCTTATGTACTGAAGTGCCTATGAGTTCTGCTCCTGCATTACCCTGGCAAATCCAGCCTATGTCCCTTGACAACTAGATGTGCCTAAAAAGGACTTTTGTTGTCACTTCAATAAAGGATGAAACTGGTGATGGTTTTTAGTAATCATGGGGAGTAGGGCTTATCTTCTGGTTTTATGCTGCAGCTTAATACTGTTGTTGTAGCCTGTGGCTGCAGGGCTCTACCCTCCTTACTAAGGAGTCATTAGAGAAGACATCAGCCATGTAAATTTTATGGCAAGAATTTCTAAAGGGGTAGATTTTAGGGCAGGCCCAAGATGACTATATTTATGCTCCCTCATTGATACTTCCAGCCAGCTATGTTCTTGTATGTGGTCAAGGTCAAAATACCCTGATTTAGCATATGTACTCAAGATCATAAACATTGGCTTGTAAACATGTGCTAATTTATGTAAACTGTTGCACCATGACTTCTCTGGCCTGCATGTAAAAAAGGCCTATGGAAAGACTCAGGGAGATGTGGGTAGCTGCCATCTCTGAATAAGGCATGCTACTATCCCAACTACACTTTGCATCTTTTTTCACCTGCTAGGATCCCAAATCTGTTTCCTAAGGTCTGAGTCCCTGAATTGAGGCTAGGCTCAAACTTGTGTTCCTCCTGCCTCAGCCTCCAGAGTCTCAGGGATTATAGGCATGTGTCACCATAGTTCTTTTAGATTATAGTTTTGTAACCTCTATGTCTTGACCTAGCATTTCTGTGACCACTAGATAAATATGCTAAGCTTGATGGACTTCTGATCTCTCCCAGCCTTATGTCTGGGAGTGATATGTCATTTGATCTTGTAGAAGATTTCCCCTGCCTTCTTGAAAACAACATTTGAATCTCATAGGAAATACCTCCCTGACCCTTTGTAGTTTATTTGATAAAACCACTTACATTCTTTTGGGACTATAAAATCTGTGTTATCTCCTTCAAGGGAACCATGTTGATATCTCCCAAAAGCTCATGTGTGAGACAATGAGTGAATTTTCAGAGGAGAAACAGTTATAAGATGTGTAACCTAATCAGTGGATTAATCAACGGACGTGATTCACTGGGTGGTAACTGTGGGAAGGTGGGATATAGCTAGAGGAGGTGGGTCCCTGTGGACTTTTGTCCCTGTTGAGCAGAGCTAGCTCTGATTCCTGATTGCCATGTCCTGAGCAGCCTTCCTCCATCGTGTTCTTTCAGTATGATGTGCTGCCTCACCTTAGGCATAAAGCAATGGAGTCAGCTGTCCATGGACTGAGCCTTCTAAAACCAGAAACCCCAAATAAATTTGCATCCACTTTGTTGTTCTTGTCAGATCTTTTGGTCACAGCAGCAAAAAGCTGACTAAAATATATGTCTTTCCAGGTAACTTGAGTTCTCAGGGCATGATCCACTCATATTTGGCTCAGAGTCATTTTCTTATCTCCTCAGAACTGTTATTTTCTTCCACACTACCCAAAGTGATCTACAGACTAAACGTAATTCCCAGCAAAATACCAATGACATTTGTTCACAGAACTAGAAAACAGAATGCTAAAATTCATGAAGCAAAAAAGACCCTGAATATTCTTGAGGGGGAAAGAAAAGCTCTGGAGGCTTCTGAGCTGATTTGAAGTTTACTACAAAACCATAATAACCATAACAACATAGTATAACAACAGCAATGTATACCAATAGGACAGAATAGAGAACCTAGAAATATACATGCATGTACAGCAAAGGTGCCGAAAGCACATATTGGAGAGAGAATAACTTCATCAACAGTTGGTGCTAGGAATACTGTATATTCCATCCACATGCAGAAGATTAAAACTTAACCTCTATCTCTTACACTCTACAAAACTCAGCTTATCATGAATGGAAGACCTGAAACTCTGAAGTGACTGGAGGGAAATGGGGGAAATACTGATTTTTACAGCTAATGGTTTTCTGGATAGAACTCCAAAAGCACAGGAAACAAAAGCCCAAACCGAGAAATGGGGTTACCTCTGCAAAGGAAACAATCCAGAGTGAAGAACCTACAGAATAAGAGAATATATTTAACAGGTATTCATCAGAGGGAAGCTTAATATCCAGAACATAAAAAGAACTTAATCACAAAAAAGCAAGCAATTTTTTAAAATGTGGAAAGGATTTGAATAGACCCTCTCAAAAGAAGAAATACGAATGGCCCATAAATACACGAAAAAATGCTCACTACCATTAGTCATCAAGGAAAATGTTTTCTTGGGTGTTCTAAGGTACCTATGTAGTCTTGGAGGGCAGTGCACGACCCCTTTATTTTCGGGCTTGTGGAGAGTTCTCCTGCAAACCTCTGCACAGTGCCTGGGCAGGGGAAGAGTAGTATCAGAGGGAGGCACGGATGGGGAGCCCAAGACAGTTGGGCCATAGCAAGCTGATGCGCGCGGGGCGAACGAAGGAGGAGACCCAGGACTGCGGGCCGGCGGCCCACGGGCGTGCAGGACCAGGGGCGGGGTCCCCAGGGCTGGTGGAGGAGGAGCAGGAAGGCGGAGCCAGGAGGAGGGCCCGCCTTCGGAGCAGGCGCCGCACGGCCCCGCCCACCGTCTCCAGGACGCGGGCTCGCGTAGGGGCGCTTTCCGCCGGGAGTCTGCAGCCACGGGTCCGCGTCCCCGCGTCCCCGCCCCAGCCGTGGAGGAGCCCGGCCCTGGTGCAGGTAACCACCCGCACGTCCCTCCCGCAGGCCCCCGGCCTCCGCCCCTCGCTGCCCGCCCGGGGCATCCTAGGTCCCGATACCTCCCGCCGTGCGCGTCCGAGGCCTCCCTCGCCCTTGCGGTCTCCCGCCTCCGACCGGCCCTGGCCCCTGGCGATGCGGCCGCCCTCCTGTTGTCTGCCAGCCTCCTCAGCCAGGTCCCCCGCCACCCCGGCCCTGGTCCCTTCGCGCTGCGGCCGCCGGGTCCTGAGACAGGGAGGTCCCTCTGCGTGCCCGCGGGAGGCCCGGGCCCGCACCCCTGCACCTCTTGGTTGCAGCCGAGCCTTTTCGTAGGCCCCGAGGGACGCCCCCGAGGGTTCCTTGGGGTGACTGCTGCCGCAGCGTCACCAGGAGACCGACTGGTGACCCTGGTTGGTGGTAAATTGAACACTGAGGTATGGATGCGATTTCCTAGGGTGTCTGCGGTGGAAAGCAGAACTTGAATTAGTCCTTTGAAATTGCATTCACCGATTTGTTTTCAAGAAAGGCGGCCCCTGTAGACCTTTGTATTGTATTACTCCTCCTAATATATTTTGTGGGATCGATTTTTCTTTAATTTTATTTTTGTTCGGTGACATTTGTTTTTAAACATCCACTAGCATTAGTGTTTTGAGAGGCAGTGCAGTATGTAGCAGAAACAGCCGCTGTATAACAAGAGGTGATTTTTAGAGTTCTTCAAGATGGAAGTCCTCATGGCTCCATCCTCAAAATCTAAAGTGATTAACTATCTGTATCCTTTATGTTTTAATTGAAGATCTTAAGTATATACGTCTGGAGTATCTTAAAGCAAATCCCTCAGGTAGATTCTTAAGTATATACTGTATCTGTGATACCTAGAAGATGTAAGGACTCCTTTTTAAAAAATATATACATATGTGCCATAATAGAATTGTCACACAGCACCAAAATTAACATTAATTCCTTGACACCATCCAGTAGACTAGTAGACTCAAGTCTGTTAGAATAGCCACTGATATATTCTAATGTCTTATTGAATCATGTTCAATTTTCCCCAATTGTCTTTTTAAATTATTTTAAAATAATTTCACATTTACAGAAAATAATTTAAAGTACTCTACTTCCCCCCCCCAGATTAGCCAGTTTATATTTGTTCATGCTTTATTCTGTTTATACATGTGCATACATATGCTATCTAGAAGCCATTTTGACTTTCAAAATACTTTTTTTTTCCTAAACTATTTGAGAGTGGGTTGGGTATGTCATGCATTCACGTATTCATCTTTATAATACTCAATATAACATGTATTTCCTTAGAGCAATGATGCTCTTTTTTATAATCAAGCACGATTGTCAAATTTGGAAAATTTAGCATTGGCACATCACTTTTATCTATGTTGTAGTTTATATTCTAATTTTGCCAGTTGTCAGAATAATGCTTTTTGGAGGTGGGTACCAGGGATTGAATCAGGGGCACTGGACCACTGATCCACATTTTCATCCCTATTTTATATATATATATATATATATATAATTGATTGTTCAAAACATTACATAGCTCTTGAACAGCATGGTACTGGTACCATAACCTATTTTATATTTTTATTTAGGAACAAGGGCTCACTGAGTTGCCTAGCTGCCTCCCTTTTGCTGAGGTTGGCTTTGAACTCTCAATCCTCCTGCCTTGCTTGGCCTCCTGAACTGCTGGGATTACAGGCATGTGCCATTGCACACGCCTGTCTCAGAATGATGTTCTTTTTAAAAATATTTTTAACTGTGTTTGGACACAATATCTTTATTTTATTTATTTATTTTATGTGGTGCTGAGAATCGAACCCAGTGCCTCGAACATTCTAGGCAAGCACTCTACCACTGAACCACAACTTCATCTGCCCAGAATAATGTTCTTTATAGCGTATTTTCTTTTCTGTTGCAGGATGCAGTACAGAGAATTATTCCATTTACTTACCTTGAATAGATAATCATGTTTAATTTAATTTTTTTTTGTAGTTGTAGATGGACAGAATGCCTTTATTTTATTTGTTTATTTTTATGTGGTACTGAGGATCAAACCCAGTGCCTCATGCATGCTAGGCAAGTGCTCCGCCACTGAGCTACAGTCCCAGTCCCAATCATGTTTAACTTGAGACAACTCCTGAACCTTTGTTTCTCATGACACTGACATTTTTAAGAAATTATAACCCATTATTTGGTGTCATTTTTCTGAATTTTTTTTTAATGAATAGACTTAGATTAGCATTTTGAGGTTGGAATACTATATAAGCAAATCTATCCTTTTTCAGATGATAACATCTAGAAGAGCATCATGTCTACCCCTTATATGGTTAAGATGTTATTCCTTTTCTCCATTGTACTACTAGTTTTTCTTTTCAAATTAATAAGTAATTTGTAGGGAGATACTTGCAGACTATGTAAATATCCCGTTCCTTATCAGACTTCTACTCTGCTTGATTTAGCATCTGTTGTTGATAAATGTGGCCCAAGAATCAGTTTTCCTATAATGTTTGCAAAATGGTAACTTTCCACATCTGCCACTTTTATCAGTATAATCATTAGTAAGCTATAACATGTTGAGCACTTATTGCTCACTATCCCAGATGTGTTCCTTCAAACACATTCCTTGTTTTTTTTTTTAATGGGGTAGAGATTGAACCTAAGGTCTTAAATATTTAGTGTGTATTTTTTTTTTTTTAAATACACAAGGATATTCTCCTGCCTAACTGCAGGAAAACCACTCACATGAGAAAACGAATGCATCACAACCATTGAATTCCTAGTTTCTCTTCATTTTCGAGTTTTCCCAGTTGTCCATTATATTACTCTTTATAATATGATGAAGTCTACAGTTACTCATTGCATTTAGTCATCTGGTCTTTTTGGGACTGTTTCCTCAGCCTTTTCATGACTTTCATGACCTTGATACCTTTGAAGCTTATAGATCAGTTATTTTGTAGCATCCCTTAGTTTGGGCTTATCTGATGTTTCCTTTTGATTGGATTCAGGTTATACATTTTTACAACATATGTCCAGAGGTCTTCTCATTTCACCTATTAGTTGGCACATGATTTCCATTTCTCCCATTTCTAATAGCATTCATTTTGATCATTGGATTAAATGGAGTCTGCCTTGCTCCTATGCAAATATCTTGTTTTCCATCAAATGTCATATTTATTCATTTTTGTGGATTCAGTTTCCTATTTCAATACATTAGTATAATACTTTATTTGTTTTTAGAGATGGGGTCTTGCTTTGTTGCTCAGCCTAAGCCTCTCAAAGAGGTGAGACTATAGGCAAGTGATACTGCACCAGCTTAAAATTCATTTTGATGCTCAGTTATTCTCAGTTGGGTCAGTGAAACTCCCTTTTACAATGATTTCTGTGTCCTCTTTCTACTTGGGCCCTAGCTTACTGTGCAGGGCTGTCCAACTGTGTGATCATCCTTCCAAGATTCTCCTAATGGCCATTCTCCCAAGGTTATGCTGTCCCACTCTGCCTGTACTCTCATGCCTCATGCATATTAGGGCCTTCACCTGAGTATCCTCTTCACTCTGCTTGGCTCTAATGGACTATTCTTGGCCTCTGCCATAGCCATCCCACCCCACTCAGTGTGGGGCTTGTCAGGCATCTTTCACTTCATGCTATCTCAGGACTTTGTTTTTCTTTGAGCTAGTTGGGGCTTTCCCACAGCTTGGTGGGCTCTGGGCATTAGATGGCTTATGCAGTGATTGGTGCTTCATGGGTAATTATTCCTAGGAGCAAGGTAGAAGGTGTATTATCTTTTATGATTTAGCCTTAGAAAATGCATAGCATCACTTCCATTGTACTCTCTTAGTCATATAATCATAAAATCTGGCCCTACATCAGAGGAGGAGGCAAAGACCACAGCACTCAGTGGGAAATGTATCAAAGTCACAGTATAAGCATTTGAGATGCAAGATTTTGGGCTGGGCACGGTGGCGCACACCTATAATTCCAGTTGCTCAGGAAGCTGAGGCAGGAGGAGGATCGTGAGTTCAGAGCCAGCCTCAGCAATGATGAGACGTAAGCAACTCAGTGAGACCCTGTCTCTAAGTAAAACACAAAATAGGGCTGGGGATGTGGCTCAGTGGTTTAATACTCCTGAGTTCAATCCCAGGTACCCCCCCCAAAAATAGATTTTATTGTAGCCATCTTTGCCAATCGCAGTCTGCCACAGTGAGCAAAGGAAATGACATAGATAGAAACTTTGTCATCAGGATCCTTCCCAGTTCATATTTATCTTTATTGTATGAAAAATAACTTATTAAGAGGCCAAATACATTTTGCCTGGCTATTTAAGACATGAGATATTAAATGATTCCTCAGTGTCTTACCTTAAATTGTTAACTTACAGGGCTGGGATTATGGCTCAGTGGTAGAGCACTTGCCTAGCATGTGTGAGGCTACTGTATTCTGCTGATTCTCAGCACTGCATATAAGTAAATAAAATAAAGGTCCACTGACAACTAAGAAATATTTTTTTTTAAAAAAAAGAGTTAACTTACTTGAGCTATTGAAAAAGTAATTATCAAAACTTTATGAAAATTCTAAATTTAGATGCTTAATAAACTATTATTACTATTATTTTCAGCATCTTATGAATGGTTTTTACTTAATTAGCCATTGATATCTCAACAAGCATGGAGATAAGATTAGAAGTTTTGACATCAACAAGTATCAAGCAGAAAAAACCCTGGCCTAGAATTTCCTGGTTGGGACAGGTGAGTTTTTCCTTGCTCATACAATACCAGTTTTATATACGTTAAGTGTGTGTGTTTTTTCTGTAAGATATAGGATGTCCTAGAAGCTCAAAGAAATCTAGCAGCAATTTTAGAGAATTTCTTGCCCCCCCGAACAGGGTTTTGCTTGTGTTTTGTTTTTGTTACAAGCAAGTTAGCTTCAGAAAGTTAGGTGGTCTGTCTAGAAGAAAATTTTTACTTTCAGAAAAGTTTTTTCTTTGTTATGTTTAAGTAGGGTAAGATGGTATATATCAAAAGGAAATGTTTAGTCTCCTGAAACTCCTCTAGTTGAATATTGGAGTGTTTCTTACTACTGTGATTTTCATGACTCTGGCTCATCAGAGCTAAGACAGAAGAGATGAGCCACATGTGTCAATAATCCAGGAACACCATTCATAAAATCTAACGTAGGTTCTTTACCTTAGGGAAAGTGGTGTGTGTGTGTGTGTGTGTGTGTGTGTGTTTTATATATAATAAATAGTGATTAATGAAATAAATAAAATGTCAAGTTTTCTGTGAGAAATTTTATCACTAATTATCAGGCATTTTCAATCTTTATGACACATCAGAATCATCTGAACAGGTTATTAAAACAGATTGTGGTGTACAACCAGAGATTTGAAAAATTGTGCTCTATGTGTGTAATGTGGATTGTAATGCATTCTGTTATCATATATAACAAATTAAAATTAAAAAAAAAAAACACCACCAAGTTTCCAATTCTGCATCTTTTGGAGGGTTGTGTAGTTTGCATTTCTGACAGATTCTCAGAAGCTGCTTGCCTCCAGGATGTACAAAACCAAGGTTCATTCAAAACAGCCTACTTTTGCTGGGCATGGTGGTGCACACCTGTGATCCCAGTGACTTGGGAGACGGATGCAGGAGGATCACAAGTTCAAGACCAACTTCTGCAAGTTAACAAGACTCAGTGTCAAAGAATAAAAAGGTCTGGGGATGTAGCTCAATGGTAAAGTGTCCCTGGGATCAGTCTTCTGTATCGAAAAGTAAAATAAGTAAATAAATAAACAGCTTACTTGTTCTAATCAACAGATGATCTGTGTCAAGGGTTTATGAATTTTTGAAGCCATATTCATGTTAATCTAGTAAATCATAAAAACTTACCAATACTACTTTTAAAACTGATAAGAGATTAAGCAGTGGGAAACAGTTTTGGCTAGCAGAATTGGAAGATACTCCTATAATGTTAAATTTCAAAGAAATTTCAGTGTGGCTGTTAGGCCACCTTACTTATTTTTTATAGTGTTGGGGGTGGAACCCAGGGCCTCATGCATGCTAGGGAAGAGCTCTAGCACTGAGCCACACCCCAGCCCATAAGAGTTTTAAAATGGCATAAAAAATCTTTAAATTACTATAGAAGAGCAACTTTAGTGTTTATTTTATGATTTGTGATATAAACTACAATCTTTCCTAAGTGTTATTTTGTTTTCCCTTCTGACATAATTAATTAATTAATTTATTTTAAAAATTATTTATTTATTTATTTTTAAATATATCTTTCCTACTTTATTTATTTTTATTTTTTTGAAAGAGAGAGTGAGAGAGAGAGAATTTTTTTTAATATTCATTTTTCAGTTATTGGCGAACACAACATCTTTGTTTGTATGTGGTGCTGAGGATTGAACCCGGGCCTCACGCATGCCAGGCGAGCGCACTACCGTTTGAGCCACATCCCCAGCCCCTGGCATAATTTATTTAGACATTAGATAAGAAGTTGAATTAATTTTGGAATCACCTAATCCTTCACATGTTTTTTTTTCTCTTAGGAAAATGAAGCTGTTTTTCTTTTGGATGGTAAATTCATAAATGAGATTAATTTGCTGTCAGGAAGAACAAAGAAGATTCCTAGTCTGCAGACTTTTTTGAAGAATGTTTTTGTCCTGACAACATCCAGTAATGGTTAAGTAATGCAGATATTTTTAAAAGGCTAAACTTACTGTGTTTTTTAAAAACTTAGAGCAATATTAAGAGATACATTAGGTTAAGAATTGCATTTCTTTTGAATGCAGATGCCTGGTTGGCTGGGGTACTCACCACTGGGGAGCTTTTCCTTTGGAACAAAGATCAAGATTGTTTGAAAACTCTACAAGTAACTGAACAGCCTAAGGAAATGATAAAAGCCTCTGTAGGTGGGGACTTTTTATTTGTTAAGTTGGTTTAACTGGGAGAAACAAAAGGAAAAGAGGAAGAAACATTTTTCTATTATTTTGAAAATGTATCTCTGTGTGCATTTGCGCATATATATGTTTCTATATATATGTTTTTAAATTTTTTGGTAGTGTTTTTCTGTGATACCTATGTTTATCTATGATACCTAGATAAAACTTGAAGAAAAGTCTGCATGCCTAACATTCTGCAATAAGTGGGTTCCTAATGCCATATAAGAAGTCTGGGAGAATTTAGACTTAGAGGTTTAATTGGGTGATTTGTTTTGTTTTATTTGTTAATTAGGAAGCTCTTCAAGACTACACTTGTATGTTTCTGGAAATGGAAAAAGAGTTCTGCTTATAGCACCTTCTGGATGTGTATTTCTTTGGGAATATTTGGAATTAAAGAATATTGTATCTTCAAAAAGCCTCGTATTGGTGGGTCAGTGGTCCCAGATCATACCTGAAGAAGCAGTTCTTTTGCCTTCCACTGATGACAAAGAAGCTGTAGTGAATGCTGTTTTTGTAGAAAATGAGGTAAAATCCAAAGCAGACGATGTGGCAGGAGTTGAGATCTCATGCTCTAGGAACAGACCCTGTCTGAGAAGCTATTTAGTGGAGGGTGTGATGATATAGTTGTCCGTCTCTAATCAATTATCATAGATGTTGTGAAATTATTGTATGGATAAGATACACTTCTTGAATCACATTTAAACAAGTGTTTATTAGAAATGAGAACTTTTCCTCCCTAATTTAAAATACAACTTGTTTTGTAATTTGTCAAGCTAGAATTGGTGGTATTAAATAAACCTTTTAATACTCAGGAAACAACAGATTTATTAACTAAAAATAAAATATTTAATATAGCTGTGTGGTACTCTGCATGTGTGGCTTAACATCTCATCTAATCTGTATTAGAAATTGCATTTTGAAGTTTTATTGCCACTGCTAATTGGGGTGATGCTATAATATATATAACTTAAAAGTAGTAAAAAAGAGAAAAATAGCCATTTAAGAATTGACTACTTACAGAACATGTATAAGACCCTGAGTTCAATCCCCAGCACTGCTCCCCATCCCCCCCCAAAAAAGAAAAACTTTTGACTTATAGTCACAATAAATGGCAGTGTTTAATTTTTAAAAATTGGAAAAAAATGATACATACTATTTGTGCATTTTATGGGGGTAAATTATGGTAATTTGATACATGTATATATTATGCAATAAATAAACTTAATAAGTATTTATGTGTTTAAAAATAAATATTTTTTTTTTTTTTTGGGAGGGCTGGGGGTGTGGCTCAGTGACAGAGCGTTTGCCCTGCACATGTAAGGCATTGGGTTTGATCCTCAGCACCATATAAAAATAAACAAACAAAATAAAGATATTGTGTCCATCTGTAACTAAAAAATTAAATTAAAAGAAATTTTTAAAAATTTGTTGAATGACCTTTAGTTTATTTATGTATTTATATGAGAGGATAAGAATTGAACCCAATACCTCACATTCTAGGCAAGTGCTCTACCCCTGAGCTATAACCACTGCCCCCAAAATAAATATTTTTTTTATGTGTTGTGAATTTCATACTCTCATTTTGAAGTTTATCATAGGTTATTTTAATCAGTAATTATCCTCATGTACTACAGAAAAACCAGAACTATTTCCTCTTCTCTAGAGTTTTTTGTTACCCCTTATTGAAGTTCTTGAGAAGATAAACTGCAACCTGAGGGACTGGACTGGACTGTTGCTTGGTAGTAGAGCACATGCTTAGCATGTATAAGACCCTGGATTCAATCCCCAACACCAAACCTCTCTTCCACCCCTAGTCCCCACCTGATTTCCCATTTGGGATCTGTCTCTGACTCCAAAAAAAAAAAAAAAAAAATTACTTAGTTTTTAATTTAATGTTAAGAATAAAAATATATTGCCAGGTGTGGTAGTACACACCTGTAATCCCAAGGACTTGGGAGGCTGAGGCAGGAGGATTATAAATTTAAGGCCAGCCTCAGTGACTTGTGAGGCTCAAAACAATTTAGCAAGATCCTGTCTCTCAATAAAACTAAAAAATGCTATGATGTACCTCAGTGATAAAGTACCCCTGGGTTCAATCCCTGGTACAAAAAAAAAATATAACCAGGGTCCCAATAGTTTTCATTTGTTTATTTATGATGAGAAATATGTTTTTTGTACCTTGATTTATTTTCATATTAATTTTATACTAAAATATATTAAATTTATCTACAGTTATTTGGTGACTGCTGCCTGTGTTCATTTACATTTTATTCTGGGGAATGCCTGAAGTTAACGTTTCTAGCAATTCGGTGGCATGAGAATGTATTTACCCCTTTAAGGTGAGGTAAATGTTTGCTTCTTTCTTATTTTCTGTCCCTTTTAAAATATCATTATCTTTTGGTTGTATGCAATTAAGATTTGTAAATGTTAGTGTGAATTTCAGTTTCTGAGGCTTCACAAATCCTTTTTCCCACCTTTCATTTCTAAATGTTTTAAAGTTTTTCTTATTTTTTGTTCTGTTTATCTTTCTGAAAGTGAGAACATGTAAAAGACAAGCCATGCTGTAGTTTCCTTGTCTTAAAGCTACAAGAACAACTACATTATGGAAAGTCACATATACTGTTGTGCATTTTAAATGCTCAAGTGCTTCTTTTGGGGGGGCGGGAAACTAGGGATTGAAGCCAGGTGTGCTTAATCATTGAACTACATCCCAGTCTTTTTTATTTTTTATTTTGAGACGGGGGCTCACTAAGTTGCTGAAACTGGCATTGAATTCATGATCTTCCTGCCTCATCCTCTAGAGCTACTAAGATTGCAGTCATATGCCACCACACCTGGCTCAAGTGCTTTTTTTAAAAATATTTTTATTAGTTGTTTATGAAATTTTAAATTTTATTTATTTATTTGTATGTGGTGTTGTAATCGATCCCAGTGATTCACACATGTTAGGCAAACGCTCTACCATGGAGTCATAATCCCAGCCCCCATCAAGTGCTTTTTAATTAAAATAGTTTTATTCTAAAAAGTTCAATAAAATATAAAAATACATTAGAAGCTCATAAAGTCTAGGATTTAATAAAATTTTAAAAATTTTTATGCCAATAGTACTTTATTAAAATTTTATTAAGATACTTTACATGAAATGAAAAACCTTTTTTTCAATCAATAATTTTTTTTTAATAGCAAATGGGGGCATTTTTAAATTTTTATTTATTTTTTATATGATGCTGAGGATGGAACCCAGGGCCTCACATGTACAACGCAAGCGCTCAGTCACTGAGTCACAATTCCAGCCCCAATCAATAAATCTTAAGTGTGCAACAATATAGACTTTGACAAATATATACATCTATGTAATTATTACTCAGATGAAATGTAGAACATTAACAGTATCCAAAAAATTTCCTTTTTAACTTCTTTAATCCTTGTGAAATCGTTTGCTATGATATAAAATGTGATTATCTAAACATTTAATTGAAGCAGATGTATTTAGGATTGACTGTGAAACCTGGCTCTATTAACAAACTCTGATATTGAACATGTTTAATTGACTCATAGCTAATCTTTTGTGCCCTGGATAAAATAACTTATCTTTCTCCTTCTCCTCTGCCCTCCTCTTTCTCCTTCCTCCTCCCTCTTCCCTCTTCCCTCCTCTTCCTTTTTCTATCCCTTTCTTCTCCATCTCTAAGAGGCCTAATTGCGCACTTTTAGGGATTTAAGTGGACTCTATACTTTTTTTTAACTCATAGTTGGACACAATACCTTTATTTCATTTATTTAATTTTATGTGGTGCTGCAGATCGAACCCAGCACCTCGCATGTGCTAGGCAAGTGCTCTACTGCTGAGCCACAACCCAACCCAACCCTATAATTTTTTGTAATGAACTATGTATATCAGTTTTACAGTTACTACACAAGTTGGGTATGTGACACAAGTCTTTAGTCCAAGCTACTTGGGATTCTGGTTTAGGGGGATCTCTCTCTCTTTTTTTTTTTAAATGACTTATCTTAAAGGATTCTTTTTTTTTTTTTTTTTTTTTTTAAGATAGGAGAGAGAAAGAGACAGAGCAATTTTAATATTTATTTATTTTTTTTTAGTTTTTCGGCAGAAACAACATCTTTGGTTGTATGTGGTGCTGAGGATCGAACCTGGGCCACACGCATTCCAGGCGAGCGCACTACCGTTTGAGCCACATCCCCAGCCCTAGGGGGATCTCTTGAACTTAGGGATTTAAGCCCATCTTGGGCTGTATAGTGAGAATCCGTCTCAAAAACAAACAACCCCTCTAAAGTGTTGCTATGCTTCCTGTGTTCAATTATTTATTACTTTCTTAGGTCATTGCCCTACCATGTTCATTGGGCACAACAGGATTGTCTTCTGAGTAGTCTGATTCCCACATGTGAATCCATAAAGTCAAGAGGAGCACTAATTTCTGCATTTTCAAGAGATGGCCTCACCCTAGCAGTAACTCTTAATCAGACAGACCCAAAGGTCAGTAAATCTAATCTGTGTTGGAAGATACTCTGAAAGAATTTGCTCCAGCTTTGAGACTTATTTTCCTTCATGACAGTTTTTTTTCCTATTACTTAATGTTCTTTAAATTGGTGTTATCCCTCCCTCTGCTCCCCCAGAATTGAATACAGTGCCACACACGTGCTAAGGAAGCACACTTCCACTGAGTTACACCCTAAACTCAGTCCTAAATTGATGTTTTCTAATGCAGCTTGCCATGTGGATTAGTACGGTTATTTAAGTTAGCTGCCATAATTTTCAGAAGTTTTTCTTTAGAAGTGAAAAGAGGGTTAGGGAAAAGAAGAAAGAAGAGTAGAACAGTAACTGTGATCTTCTTAAGGTGGAATAGAAAAGAGCAAGGAATTGTAGGGGGTCAGTACTGTCTTATCAATTGGAAAGACTTCCTAGATGGTTTATAATAATGACAGATCTTTGTCAGATCTTTGAGTTGTAAATAATGATTACAGTAAAATAATTATAATGTTTTTGTGGTATTGTTTTCCTTCTAGGCAACTCAGGTATTATTTATAAACACAGTGAATTTTGTTACTCTCTGTGGTAGCCTTAAAGGATGTAGTAATAAGAATCCTGTGGTTCCAGCTACACTTGTCAGGTACAGATTCTGATTATTTTTCTCAGTAGTACTTTCATTTTCTTTTCCAACAGCTTAAGAAGTTGAACACTAATAATTCCATAGGTATCATTTAGACAGGGGCTACTTCTTTAAGCATTTGTGCTTGATAAATTCTTAAAGCTGCTTTATATAAGGAAAGCCTTAATAATTTTTCAGAAGGATCTGGTGGGAGTAGGAAATTCATGAATGTATCTTTTCTCTTTCATTGTTTTCTATGTCGTCCTAGAAGGAATGGGATCATACATAGGTAGAGAAGTATTGGGTGTAATTGGAGGGGCTGAAATGAAGAAGCCTGGGCTGAGTAGATCATTATTCTCTGAGGCATGCTAACATATTTATTACCTCCTGAATGGTTGCATCTTGTATTGCCGCAACATTGTTGGCTACTTTGGATGTCACATGAGCTACCAATAGGACATATGCAGGATTATAGAGTATGAAGATTTTCTCCTAGAGCTCCTGACTTTCTTTTCTTAATACTTTTCTGTGCTATTTCTGAATTTTCTGGTCACCCAATCCTCCTTCTTCATTTTCTTTCCTTCTCCAACGGTTCCTTCCCAGAAGTATCACTAATCTCGGGTCAGTGGTCAGTTTGAGTTAGTTATCCATCATTTTCATGAGGCAGAGCTGCTTTTTGTTCTTGTGAAACATTTACATTATCAGGTAGTTAAAAGAGTGGTGATAGTGACACCTTTGGGAGGAGACAAGTTCTCCTGTTGAGCACTCTAGCAAGCTGCAGGACAGGCACAGCCTTGAAATCTGTCCATAGATCTTGGTTGTAGACTCCATTAGAAAATTCATTCTAATTAAAATGTGACTAAACATCTCACTCCAGGGAGTATTTCCATTTTTAAATTGCTTATGAATCTTAATAAATTTCTAGTTAGGATAGTGTTGCAATAGATGTCTATGAGCAAGCTCTTTTTTCTAGGAAGTAAAATTCATGAAGTAGCTGTGACAGTTGCTTTCTATCAATTTCTTAACCCTTGTGTTTTGAAATATCTCACTCCTATATGATACAGCCCATTATAAACTGTTGAATACATTGTAGAAAGTCCTATCTAAACATGATGTGCCATGCTCTTTCTAGGTCCTATTGGGTAGGTGATGTCAGCTGGACGCATGATAGTCTTTTCCTGGCTTGTGTGTTAAAACGTGGTTCCCTGCTGTTATTGACCTGCCAAGGTGAATTGCTAACATTAATTACATTTGGTTGCTCTATTGAATTTGGGCCAGCAGAATTTATTCCTCTTCATCCACTAATAACATATAGGTGAGACATTTGAGTTGTTTTATTTTCAAAAGTTTTTCTCTTTTGGTATTACTTTTACTGTGTATTTTCAAAAATAATTTCATCTTCAATTTGTCTTTTTCTTTCTTTGAGTTTGTCATCTCAATATCTGTTTCTTATTTATAGTTTTCTTCTATTTCTTTTTGTGGCTTAATCGTGGTGAAAATTTGACATTGTGACTATGTGAGTATAAGTTATTTAAATAGGCAATAGTACTACAAATCTGTTTTTTATATAAAAGATAATAAAAGTCTGATATGACTTTTATTGTTGTGAAAGAATAGCATATAGATAAGTTAATAACTCAAAATTAACTATACATGGATTGCACTTCTACCCAAAGGGTGGAAATTGTTGGTAATGGATAAAAGACTTTAGAATTTAGCCATGTTTTAAAATTTTAATTGTGAAATAAGGTAGCAGTTTGGCTTTGGAGCCAGATGGATCAAGATTCAAATGTTGGTTTTCTACTTCATTGAATTGTTCAGTTGTTCTTTAAATCTCATTTTTTTTCCCTTGTGAAATGAAGATGAGGAAGTGCAGTAAGATGATATAGTTACATAATTATAAATCACTAAGTGAGGTTCTCATTTAAAGTATATAGGTATTCATTATTTTGAAATTAGAAAAGTGTATAAAATGATATGCTCCTATAATTCTATTCCTTGAGGAACAATTAACATTTTAGTATGTTGTCATCCAAATTTTAAAAAATATATATGTAGCATTTATAATAATAACAATGTTAATTTCTTTTTTAACACAAGATAAACTATATGATATATGCTCTTTACTACTTTGCTATTTGATAGCATCTCTTACATATTTTTCCATTTTAGATATTATTTCTAATGGTTCTATAGATTTCTGTGGTGTGTGTATACTACAGTTAACCAGTATCCTATTGAAGGCCATTTGGCTAATAAAAAAGCTGGTTAAGAAATCTGATTAATTTTCTAACAAGACAAAAAGTACCATAAATTTATCTCCCTTTACATATATATGTTTTTATATATAT